CATCTGTTGAAGGGCACCCATATATAGTATTTTCAAGGTTGTTTCCCATTAAACAGTCAGGTCACAAAACTATGTTATCCTATAATGAGTAAGAAATTGTGGTAAAACTATGGGGAAAGATCCAAAGATCTAAAGCTTGTCATCTCTAGGTATTTTGTAGTTGATCAGAATTACTCTAGGTTACACAGAAATCTTCAAGAAATTGGTGTGTCAATGGAGAATACCTTTTAAGAATACCAAATGGTATGCATGAAAATCCAAAAATTGGTTACTTGCTTATATAACAATGAAATTTAGCACAAGACTCTTACATAATGGGAATCTTCCTTTTACTCAAATGACTATGTGTTTAAGAATGTGATCTAGCCAACTTTAGGAAGACATTAATTTCTGTATTATTCACTATCATATAGGATAGATCTGCATTATATATTGCATTTTATGTTTTGATTATGCTTATATGGTTTATGGGGAGGTCTCCAGGCCTCTCAGGGGGTCCTTTTTTCCTGCCCAGGAGGGTATAAGCCACAGGAAAAAAATAAGTCAGAAATAATTAGTAAAGAACAAAAGACATAGAGTCAGAAAAACAGTTTTACAGTAGAGCCCCTGATAGGCCCAGCCCACACAGGCGCTGGAGCTGGACAATTAAAAAACGACTCCCATGGTTTATTTAAGGGGGTATATTGAAGGCAGGAAATAGATTCCAGGGGTGGAGTCTTGCTTCATGATATCTTGCAGTCAGCAGGTTGATTGGCATCTTGGCAGGTCACATCCATCTCTGAGAGGCTATGTGGCTGTAGTAAATCACCCTATCTCTGGGGCTGTGTGGGGCCTGGGACAGAGCTTGAATAAGGTCACATGTGTCTGGGTAGTATTAGCCAGAGGAAATTTCCACTGGAAGTTCCCAGACACCAGATTCTCCTATTTACTAGACTGTGATGCCAATGTAGTCCACACACGGCCCACTGATGGCTCTTGACAGTGATTAAAGAGGAGTAACATTTAATTGGCTCAAAATTCCCTTTTAGGAATTATCTGCTAAAGTCCAGTATATATTTTAAGCAACACTAACTTACCCACTTATAACTGGTTTCTGTAGTGGATCAGAAGTCTTGAGAGAAAAATAAAGAGAGTAACTATTGCTATTATATAATAGGCAGCTCTTACAGGAGTCTTAATGTTTTAGTCCCTAGGGTTAAGTTTGGGTTCATGTGGTTTACTATAGTACTCAGTGTGGCCCCCCTGCCTAAGTCTAATTTATAGCGTAAGAGTTGCTGACCTGGATTTCTTTGGGTGGAGTAGTCACAGTGTTAACTGTTCTTTTCTTCATTCTACTAACTCTTATTAGTTTTTACCTTAGCTAGGCTCTTTAAAAAAAAAAAAAAAAAAAAAAAGTATATTTCTCTCAGTGGATAATTCTTCTTATCAAAATGTCATGGTATTTTACTAAGCCACACCCAGAGTTTGTGTGGAATTTTTATATTTACATAAATTTACTTACCTGATAGCATACTTTCTCCATTTTTCAGTTCTGCCCTAGTTGCTAACAGAGTTACTGCCACTGGGAAGTGGCCTTAAATCTCTTCCTAGTTTAAGAGTCTTAAAATATATTTGGAAATTGAATCCTTACCTGTAATGGATGACATCCTATATATTCAAGGACTGGTAAAGTCTCTGTTTAATCTTGAGTTTATCCATCTTAAGCCCAGATTAAGCACAGATCATTTGACCCCTCCCCCACCCCACCCCCCAGCAGAGCTACAACTCCCAGTGCAGGAAGCTCTCCCTGCTCTGAAAGGATCAAGATTTGGGTCTTTGCTTAGTACAGACTGTCAGATGGGATAGCTTAGAATCCAGCCATAGTTAAACAGAGAGAAACTAGGGTACTGAGGCCTGAACACCCCATATTTTCTACTACATCCTGCCACATGTTGGCAAGAGTGTGAGGAGTCCTGCCTATGATCACACCCTGTTTCCTCTGAACTTGTTACAACTGCTTTATTTTTACAATCTCCCTTCCTGCTCTCTTTGTCCCTTGGTTCTTCTGCTCCTAGTTGAGTAAGTGCAGCCAGAGAAAGGATGCTAATGTGATTTTTCTTAACTAAAGGTGGTTTTGATCAAGTGGGCTTCAAATTACAAAATGAAATTTGTCTTGTTTTACTTTTAAATTCTATGGCTTATGAAGAAACATAACCAAATAGTATGCATATTGTTCAAAAGTGGCCACTTTTGCTAAATTGTAATTTCTCAAGAAATCATGTGACTATATAAACTCATCATCATGAGTAAAATTTTCTAAGATCCATCTATGATTTGAAATGCAAACAGGCCTACATTACTGTCATTTGCTCCAAAAATCATTTTTCTAAATCCTCTGGATTCATAAAATTTCTTGCAAGGCAGGACTATCATGGAAAAATGGCAAACATAAGTAGGATTTGGGAATACAAGGTAGGGATACTTTTTAAGTTGTAAGGTGGACAGTGATTAGTTTGGCCTTTTGTCTGGTATTTCATATTACCACCTGTGATAAGTGACTGTATTTTTCAGTTCATTTCCATCTTTTTGAACTTAACAATCTCAGAAAATTATCTAATGATTTTCTTCCATTTCTACTCAACAGTGATCCATTGATTTTGACTATACAGTAAATTAGTTGTTGCTTATGAAAGTTTCACGGTGCCAGTGAGTCACAAAGGCATTTACTGATTCTCATTTACTCTCAGGAAAAGGAAGTGTGTAGTTTTTCTTCTCAGGGGAACTAAGAATTACACTGCTTTATAGCCATTCTTTGAACCATATAACATAAGATTTGATATGATTATTCTTAATTGACTTGGGTTAGTCAGACATTTCTAGAATTTGGTTCTGCCTTCAGATTTAATGATTATGGGCTTTAAGAAGTGAGCAGATTAAATTTTTCTGGTGCTGTTATATATCACTTTTTAGTGATATAATACTGTATAGAGAATATAGAGTTACATCCTTGGTGAATTCAAAGGTATTGGCAGTAAGGGTCTATCTGACCCAACCCCTTTTCTTTAATTTCAAATTCTCTATTCTTTATCTTTACCCTTTCTTCTCAGAATCTCTCTTACCATCAAAGCAGAAATTTTAGAATTCATTCATTGATTTATTCAGTAAATTTTCACTGAAGCCTTATATGCCAAGATAAACATTGGGAATGCAGTGGTGTGTGTGTACCATAGATCTTTCCCTAGAGTTTATCATCTAGTACAGGGATTGGGAGGCCAAATCCAGCCCACCATCTATCTTTGTATATGAAGTTTTTTCCTTCCCCTAGAACTGGGAATTGAACCCATGGCCTTCAACATACTAGGCAAGCACTCTACCACTGAGCTACATTTCCATCCTGTATATGAAGTCCTATTGAAGTTTATATTGTCTCTGGCTGCTTGCACACTACAATGACAGACTTGAATAATTGCAACAGAGACCAAAAACAATTTTGGTCTGCAAAGCCAAAATGTTCTCTACTTGACCCTTTGCATAAAAAGTTAGCCGATCCCTGCCTTCTTTGGTAATGATGGAGTTATTATATAAATGCGGGAAAGACAGTAAATGAAACAGGTATATGGTGTGAGGTCAATGTCAAGTTCAGATTTGGGGGTTTCAAATTTAGGTCCCAGAGACATATAAATAGAAATGTTAAGGAAGCAGTAGATTATAAGGTCTAGAGATCAGGACTATTATGTGGGCTGGGAAGATGGATGTAGGAATCATCAGAATAAATCTGGTCACTAAGCTTAGAAGAGAATGAGGTAACCTGGAATGAGAAAGGCATGGCAAATGGACTTCTCACAGAATCCTAAAGAAAACCAATAGTTTAATATTGGACAACGAACCATTAAGTTAAAGAAAAATCAAAACAACTTTTAGAAGAAGATAAGCCGAAGTTTGAATCCATTAAAACTTCTATTATTGAAGTGGGTGAATTTGGGAAATATTTAAATAAGCAYAGGCCAGCCTAGATAATAGCATGTATTTCACAACTGGATAGGTTGGTTTCATGTATCATCATAGTCCATATTCTTCTAATGTATAGTTTTCTTCCTGTAAACCATTAAGAAATTTAAGTGGATGCCCAGACAAATTAAATCACAGTGTCTGAAGGGAGAACACAGGCATCAGTATGTATTTTAAATCCACTGAGGTGATGTTAATGCTGGGAAATACTGTTTGGGGAGAAGAATGGTTCTGGCTTAATAAGTTAACAAAATCTCTCAGGATTTCTGACTGAAAGAACTACATAGATGAAGAGGGTCCAAACAGAAAAGAGCGGTGCCCCCTGATGAATATCCTTATAAGCAGAACCTGTTTTTACCTCTGCCACTCCTGGAATGGGGCAAACTAGGGGTTTGGGGAGGTTTAAAAGACTTGGTTACAGTTATTAGAGTTTTTCTCATAGTTCTGAATTCAGCTAAACTCTTACTGAATAGAAAACACTGAACTGGCCTGTTGAGTACATTTCCTCACCTCGTTCCTCTGCCATTTGGGGTATGAAGCCAGCTGATACCTTTGCCATCATATGGTTGTATTACTTACTAAAGATTATATTTATCATATACCAGATGCCTGTGAGAATTATTACTATACAACATGACCTATTAAGTATCTGTTTTAATCAAAGATCCTAGAAACTCATTGCTCTAATCCTTAACAGTATTAACCCTTAACAATATTGACATTAGTAAGAGATCTTTGTTAGTTAAGTTTATAGAGATGATTTTTTTAAGTGTCCATTCATTTATATTGGAATAGTATGGTGAGGAAATAGTCTATTTCTTGGTAGTTCCATTCTACCCTGAGAAAGATCTTGTAATATGAAGACCTAACAAAATGGCCTGCTTACATTTCACATTTTAAACTGTTTTTATTGCCGCCTCAGCCTTTCTTTAAACATGAAAATTTGTATCATAAACTCTACTGTGGTGCTTTGCCTTCATGTACTCATTGTATATCCCCCTCCTTTTGTATAGGTAGACAGAGATGTCAATAACCCCATGCCCAACCGAGGAGGCAATGGATTAGCTCCTGGGGATGACAGATTCAAACCTGTGGTACCATGGCCTCATGTTGAAGGAGTAGAAGTGGACTTAGAGTCTATTAGAAGAAAAAACAAGGCCAAAAATGAACAGGAGCACCATGCTGGAGGAGATTCCCAAAAAGACATAATACAGAGGCAGTATCTCACATTTAAGCCTCAGACATTCACCTATCGTGATCCTGTGCTACGCCCCGGGATCCTTGGTAACTTTGAACCCAAAGAACCTGAGCCTCATGGAGTGGTTGGTGGCCCTGGAGAACAAGCCAAGCCATTGGTTTTGGGACCAGAATTCAAACATGCAGTTCAAGCCAGCATTAAAGAGTTTGGATTTAACATGGTGGCAAGTGACATGATCTCACTGGACCGCAGCGTCAATGACTTACGTCAAGAAGAGTAAGCACACATCCTCTTCTTTCTAAAATTGGGGCAACTATTGCTTTGCTAGATATTGAGATTGTTAGGGATGGAGAAAATATTTATGCCTTTATTTCAATGAAATAAGGGGACCTTTGGTGAGCAAAATGACCTGAAAGATGAGGGCCTCCATTTTTGTCTTCATATTGAAGGTACAATGTATAAAATGCTGGAGTCTTCTATATCAGTGCTACTGAAACAAAACATGGTCCCCAGACTGATAGCAATCTATGATTTTTGTTTGTTTCCTGCCCGCAGTGAGAAAATTAGCTTATACCAGGATGAACATAAACTATACCATTAAATACTTTGTTTAGTTCACCTGACAATTTTTTGATACAAAACTTCTTCCACATGTTGATTTTCATTCTGGAGCAAGCACGTTCCTTATCTTTTTTGTGGAACAAGAGTAAATACCAATACTGCTCTGGGTATCTCATATTATTAGGTAGATTTATATTTCCTTTAAGAAGGAATACTTAGATAAAACTGTGGCCTAAACTTTCTTTTTTTTTTCTTCATGTGATATATAAGTTAAATGAAGGATTTCCAGTTCTTAAGTTGTGACAGTGATTATTGAATGAACTCAAAACTTTTCTCTTTCAGTTTATTCAATAACTGTTTCTACTAGTGTGGTATCTAAATAACTTTTAATGATGTGTATGCAAATTTATTCACTACTGGTAGAAAACTTTCAAAGTATATTCTCAAAATGATGTATTGTTAGCATAGTCTTCATGTGAAAAGGTTAACACAGCAGGTGCACAGACCCCCCCAATATCCACCCACAAACAAACACACACACACACACACACACACACACACACACACACGGTTGCACCAGTGTCTTTATAACCACTAAGTAAAATTCCATACCTAATGTAGTACCACTCAATAGACGTCAGACACTCATACACATATTGGTAAGAATGAGAAGAGATGAATGAAATGTGCATAGAAAGTAGGAGTGGATAGCACCATGACAGTAGGAAACATAACTTATACAGAGAAGAGTTAGCATCACATGGGACTGTGAAGAAAGAGTCTTGGACCAATTTATTCTTAGTAGAGACTTGCCTTGTCATAGGGTTGCTAGATTAGCCCATAAAAATACAAAATGCACAATTAAATTTGAATTTCAGATAGATAGTAAAAAAAAAATTAGTATAGCCCCATACTGTATTTGGACATACTAAAATCTTTTTGTTGTTGTTTATGTAAAAATCCAAATAAACTGAGTGTCCTCTGTTTCATATGGGAGTGTTTCTAGTCAGGAGGTGAGGGTGATTGTTGCAGAGTTAGAACTTTTCAGAGAGTACCTGTTAGAACCCATAAAAAGATCTGCTGTCCCAACCTACAGGGTGTCCCAGTTATGTTAAATATAGCACTCAGTCATATACTTCATATGTACAGAGTACTCTTTATCTTTTAAAGAGGGACTTTGAGAACTTGTGGTATTCTCATACTATATTGAAGGAGAAAGGGAAGGGAGGGGAATAAGAAGAAAGAGTCTATCATTTATTGGCTTCCTACTTCATGCCAGGACTTATAAGTTATTGAATTCTTACAACTAAACTATGAGAGAGTTCTTACTTGTATATGTAAAGTCTGAGGCTCAGAATGATCACTTCTTTGTATATACTCAGCAAAGTGGCAAAGCTGTGATTCACCCTGAGATGGCTTGGTCTGAAAACCCCTTCTCTTTTCACCACATCACCCTTAAGGTATGTCTCTTTCTTGATAGTGAACATAAGAGTAGATGTTACATTCAGAAGGTGAACTTGGCAGTGTGCAAATGGAAATTTTAGCACATGAACTAATTATAAAAATATATGGTATAATTTCAAAAACTAGTATAAATATAGATAGCTTTCTAATCTAAGAAATGTGGTATGAAAATCAAATTATGTACAAGACTTAGAGTTGTGCACAGGATTTAGAGCATCCTCCATGCTTCCCTCTCTGTTACCTCTTACATCCAGTCTATCAGCAAGGCCTCTGGTTTCTACCACCAAAATATAGCTCAGATCACTTCTGAGGTTCATTTCCTTCATCTCCATTGCTATCACCATGTCCACGTGACCATCGTCTCTCTTGGAATCCTGCAAAAGCCTATTTACTGGTCTCTATACTATTATTCTTACTTATTGCCTATTATTTATACAGAAAACAGGGTGGTCTTTTAGGACCCAAAGATGGTCTGTTGAAAACCATTCTGTGCTTTCCATTGCTCTTAAAATAAGACACAAGCTCCCACCCTGCAGCAGCCTCTATGCTGTGACCCTATAAGGCATGATCTGCCTTGTGGACCTCCTTTTGCCACCATACACCTCACCCATAGCACTCCAGCTATGTTGACCTGTCCCAGAGTCTTTGCATATGCTTTTCTCCCTCTTCCATGAATGCTTTTGCTCTTCATCTGCTGCCAGCCCTTTCCCATCCTTTGGATTTCAGTTGGACTTTGCTAACCATRTTGTTTAATTTAGTAGTGCCCCACTTAATTCTCTTTTACTACTCCCTGACCATTTTGTTCATAGTATTTATCAAATTTTATACGTACAGGCTGGGATTATGGCTCAGTGGTAGAGCACGTGCCTAGCACACATGAGACACTGGGTTCAATCCTCAGCACCACATACAAAAATAAATAAAATAAAGGTATAAAATTAAAAAAAAAATTATACTTACCTAGTTGTTTATTGACTTATCTTTCTCACTAGGTAATATCTCACTGTGTCTAGGACTGGGGTTGTAGCTCAATGATAAAGCATTTGCCTAGCATGTGTGAGACCCTGGGTTCAACCCCCAGTAACACACACATTCACATGACAATGTCTCTTTTCTTCACTGGCTACTCCCAGTAATTAAAATATAGGAGCTCAGTAGTACCAACTAAATATCTCTTTGAGAGAATGAATGAATAAGTGAGTGAGTGAGTGAATTAAGGGAGTAGGCCAACATTCAGCCCTTGGCCCCAACACCAGATGTGAGATCTTCAACCTGTTATTTATCCTTTCTGACCTCTAACTTAAAATGATATTAGCAATAACAATCTCAGGATTTACATTAGAACAAAATAACAATAGATTAAAACTCTTATTATAGACATGTTGTTTAGAAACTTAAGTATTATTAGCTCCTCTACTGCTGTGGCACTTTTCTTAGTACTTTCTTGTCAACATTGGAATGTTTTCAGTTATTATTTAACTTTGATATTCTTTATTGCTTTTTGAAAGGCACAAATATCACACATGCCTTAACTATGTCATCTTGCTTCTACTTGTAGCTTCTATGATATCAAAGCCTTCATTTGTCTCTTGAAAATTTTAGACACACTAATTGCCATCTGACTCCCATCAGAGTCCTCCTAGCTCCCCTACAGTCTCTTTCCTATCTCCCCCTTTCCCCTTTCTTTTTGCCCCTTTGCTTCTTTTCTCCCCTCTCCTTTCCTTTCCTCCTCCTCTTTTCTGCCTTTTCTCCCTCCCTTTCTTCTCTCACGCATCATATAGTCCATTGTTTCCCATGTGCTTTCCTTTGCACATCTACAACAGGACCTAGAAATAGGATGTTTTGTGTTTTTATGTGTCATTTTATATTTTGTCTCCAATCAAATAAAATGACTCAAGACTACCTTAGCAAATACTCCTATGCCTTTATTTGAAATCCTATACTAGTGATAAATTCCTCTCTTTTTAAAAATATTTCAAGGGCTGGGGTTGTAGCTTTGTTGTAGAGTATTTGTAATATTGGTTGTAGAGGCATGCATGAGGCCCTGGGTTCCATCCCCAGCACCACAAAAATAAATGAATAAAGAAAGAAAAATGATTTTAAAAGTGAAAGAACGAACAAGGCTCATCGTCGGAGAAAATGCCCATTTATTGAGGAATAGCTCTGCATATTTATAGAGCCGGGGGTGGTTTGACAGTTATGACAGTTTAATGGTTTGACAGTTGGCATGGGGTACTTTTTGATTGGTGGGTAAGGATCATGTGAGCCAGCAGGGCTAGTCTGATTGGTGGATAAGGATCATGTGAGCCAGCAGGGCTAGTCTGACTGGTGAATAAGGATCATGTGAGCCAGCAGGGCTAGTCTGATTGGTGGATAAGGATCATGTGAGCCAGCAGGGCTCACCATTGGACAGCTCTTCTCAGGGGATGGGGAAGTTAGTCTTTGGAGCCAGGGCAACTCCCAACAAAAAGCATTCAAGTGTAACAACCCCCAGAAATAATTTTTAAATCGAATCCACATTACATTCTAAGCTGGATTCTTTTTTTTCCCCACATTTTTAAAATTTGTTCTTTTTAGTTATACATGACAGGAGAATGTATTTTGACATATTATACATACATGGAGTATAACTTCCCATTCTTGTGGTCCTGCATGATGTGGAGCTACAGTGGTCATGTATTCATATTTGAACATAGAAAAGTTACGTTCGATTCATTCTAATGTCTTTCCCATTTCCATCCCTTTTCTTACTCCCCATCCCCACCATACCAATCCAAAGAACCTCCACACACACACCCTGCCTATTGGGAGTGAGTGACCACATATCAGAGAGAACATTCAGCGTTTGGTTTTTTGGGATTACCTTTCTTCACTTAGCATGATAGTCTCCAGTTCCATCTATTTACTGGCAAATGCCATAATTTCATTCTTATTTTTGGCTGAGTATTATTCCATTGTGTATGTGTACCACATTTTCTTTATTCATTCATCTGTTGAAGGGCACCTAGGTTGGTTCCATAGCATACCTATTGTGAATTGAGCTGCTGTGAACATTGATGTGGCCATATCACTATAGTATGCTGATTTTAAGTCTTTTGAGTATATGCTAAGGAATGGGATAACTGGGTCAAATGGTGATTCCATTCTAGGTTTTCTGAGGAATCTCCATACTGCTTTCCAGAGTGGTTGCACCAATTTGCAGTCTCACCAACAATGTTTGAATGTACCTTTTCCCCCCACATACTTGCCAG